TTATTTTACATATAATGAAAATGAGGGGATAAGCTGGCTAGGAGTGAAATCAGAATTTACACTGGCTCTTTATAAAGCGACATTTCCTAAAAAGACTTTTTTCCCCCCATTCCGGGCATTACAGAGATTTTAAATCTTTGTCGACTTTTGAAAGCACAGCTCCTGAAGGACAAAGGATGATATATTCTTAGTGACTGTGTAAAGTATAGTAGTTTTAAAGACAATAAACGCAAGGTCATATTAGGGCAAAACAGTTAATTACCCACTTCATTATTGTCAAGGTTAATACAGTATTTGAGCGCAGAAGCTGTTCTTCATCTGCTCTTGGATACAAGGCAAGACAGCGGTTCTTGCAGACAGATCCATTATAGCTTATCGCTGCAGGACAGACCGCTCCAGCAGCACCATGAAGGATGTCTACTGTCAGCGGTATGCAGAGCAAACGCCAGACCTGTCTGGAGAGCAGTGGAAATGAAATGAGAGCTACAGCTTCGGAGTAGCGCGCTTTAATTCACAGAGATTGCATCCCATTGATTTTAATGTATGATGGTAATAGTAGCATAAAATTCTCCAGCACTCTCTCATCTGTTTTAACATTGATCCATCCCAAATTGCGCAGCGCTTTGAAAAACATCCTTTAATGAACACAGGGTATTGACTATAACAAATCCCATCTTTCTGTGGTGGAACCCAGTTAAGGCTGCGCCTGCTGTAGGGTTTGATTTCTGTTCTTCATGCATGCCTGGGCACCGTACAGGTTTCCATTACATGATCTCAATAGACACGAACAAAGATCTCATAAATCTTAGCGGATCAACCTTTGCGAATACTGCATTGCTTGTAACTGGATGCTTTGCCTGCAGCAACTTTGGAATTCCTCGTCTGTGTGTGCAAATAGAAGTTGTCTCTTTAGTTGTCTCTTTCAGCTTATAAACCCTTTAAAATTGGAAAAACGAATAATTAATTGCCTGCTATTACCAGGCAAACTGTGTTTGTATCCCTTTTTTTTTGGTTGGGTTTTCTTTCAGGGTTTTTGTTTTGCTTATTAAGCTGTTCTTTTCTGAGTGTGTGTGTTTTTGTTTGGTTTGTTGTTTTTTTTTTTTTTTTGCTTTTTAAGAAGTAAAATTTTCCATCTTTTGTTGCTTCTGTTGTTGTGGAACCTTTCCCTGTGCACACAGCCTGGCACTGCAGTAACCGTGCTGAATTCCCCAACTGAGAATGCCATGTCAGCATTTGGGTTTTCCCCAGTACTCCCACATGCCTTTGTACCTGGCTACTTCTGGTTAACATTAGGCTTCAGTTTGGAAATTTGGGCCATAGTTAGGGCAGTTTTCAGTCTGACTTATTTCTGCAAATCCTGCACTTCATGGGAAAACTGCAGGGTGCTGGTGAGCCCCAGTGTATATTTCCTCTGTAATAAATGACTTCAGGAGGAGTTAACTTTGCCTAATGTAAGCATTGTTCTCTAGAAACAGTGCCTCTGACTTGGTCATTTTTGATGCTCTGTGGGCATCTTTACGGAGCAGTTTATTATTTTTATAGAATAATGCCTGCTTTGGGATTTTAATTGTTTTTTTAAGCCTACTAAATTATAAAGAATTAACTGTGCCCACCAGGGAGGCAGTGTGTGTAAGCATCACAAGTTCTATTTGATAGCAGTAGTGCTAGAAGTTTTCTTAATAAAATAAAAATAGAAGTCAAGTTCTAATAGGCTGTCTGATTAAGCAATAGGGGCATGTCAACAAGGTGTATATTCTTTCATATAAGGGAAATGCTAAATTTAAAAACAAACCAAAGTAAATAAACATTGATGATGGCATAAGAACAATAATAATAATGTAATAATAAATCACTGACTATTCCGTAAAAATGCATCACCTTCATATCATACATTCTCCTTTTTTGCTCTTCACAACAAATGACTTTCACATCCTAGTTTGCTGTAGTAATGACAGCGGTGTGTGGCTTTGACACCAGCAGTGGCAGTGCATGGTTGCAGGTTTCAGGCAGTACTGCCAAGGCATCTTAATCTAGACTTGCAGTGTTCTTCTAGGATAGGTAAATTTTCTCCTCCCTTTGCACTGAAGGACTGTGTTTGTATGATGAAACAGTGCCAAGGATTGTCATCAGGTAATGAAATTAAAAATCTGTGCTATTTGGCTGCTCAAGCCCCTCACCTGGGCAAGGGAGCATCCTCCTAAACAGCCCCAGGCACAGTCAGCACCAGGCAGACTTTTCCCCAAGTCACAGATGTTGCTTTCAGGCTGAGAGCATTCGGCCATGCAGAGCCAGGCCAGCACACATAAACCCGCTTGGCCTGAGGGATTGGTCCCAGCACTTCTCATTTACTGCTAGAGAGGAGCCCGAAGCAAAGAGAATTCCAGCCAGCATTCTTGCAAGTCAGTGGTTGTCAGCAGGCTGCGGGGAGAAAACAAGGGCTTTTGAGACCTTAGTCCCCTTCACTGATCAGGATTAGGTTGCACTGAGGTCACAGGGGTAACCAAGGCTTCTTCATAAATGAGAGCTTCAGTGGCAAATGCTCTTTTTGGTAAATCGGGATTTCCTACATGACAGTTTTACTAATATTAAGAAAACCTGTTTGTTTGTTTGTTGGTAATCCTCACAGTCAAAACGGTGGCTTCTGTCTGCAGAAAATCCCTAAACATTGCGTTTTTGTCATCGATGAATTCCAAAACGCATCATCCTTCGGCTTCATTCTTCTGAAATTTCCTTGCAACAGGGCTGAGATACCTGTTTGTGATTCTTTCATCACCCAAATCCTATAAGCATCTGCATTTAAAAAACCTGCTTCAAAAGAGCATCTGTTTGGAGGAAAGGGAGGCAAACACCCCTTTCTTTTAACCAGAGAGGCCATTCTGCTCCCGGGGGTTCCCTCTGGCTCCGAGGTCCTTTTGTGCGGGCACAATGCAGGTTGCTCCAGGAAACCTCTGCTTTGTGCAGGCTAGTCCCACAGAGATCATTAAATTGGCATTTTTACTCCTTGGTATGCTTTTACACCGGGGAAGCGAGATGGCAGTTGGGTATTTCAATCTTGTTTTCAATTAAAAGCATTTCATTGTTGAGTGTGCTGTTTTATTATGTGATAATTAAATATGAATGATCATGCATTCATCCTGCCAAAGCGGCTGTAGCCTAACAAAACAAATTCCTTTCGCGTTACTGAATGCTTCAGAAGCAAAAGGAGTGATCTATTTGCTGATCCTGATTTTTTCTGTCCTATTGTTTCAGTATTGCCAGCTTCAAAATAGCAAACCAGGCAAGTAATTACAGACATAAATAAGAGGAGGGATCAATCTGAGGTCAGGATTGCTTTGCCCGTAGCCCTGCTTTTCTCAGCTGTCTTTTTCTGAATAACAGAGAAGTATGTTGCTGTCAATTTAGCGGTGATGGGGCAAAGCAGGAGGGATGAAGAGGGATGAGGAAGAGGGCCAGCCTTTTCTTAAAAGAGAAATTGTGCCCTGTCCTATCTTCTGATTGCATTACAGACCTTTCCTAGACAAAAAATTGACTCCAGGATGCAATACAAAGGGCCGTATTGCTTGTGCTGCAGAGCCCTTTCCATGGCTTCCCATCCCTGCTGCCAGTCATGGCATTTGTATGGAAGCATTTGGCTGTAGACCCTGTTGGTGCACCATCTTCTTTTACAGATGTTTCCTTGTTTTATCTTGGTGCTGCTTCATCAGCCTTGGGTCAGGCTTACAGGGATGCATTTCTGATACAGCCATGTCTGGTGGTGTTGCAGTGGAGGAAGGGCTGGCGGCCAGGCTGGACACAGCATGGTGCACCATTATCAGTGTGCTGCACAGGCAAGCTGCTCACAGAAGGACAGCTCCTTGGGATGGCCACAATGACTCCATTTAGAAACTAAGTGAGTTAAATAAGATACAACCTCAGATATTTAGCTGAAGTGAATCAGCAAAGGAAATTCTGTTTCAATAGAGCCGTGCTGATTTATGGCCCTGGTTCTCAATCTGTACATCTTATTCTTGCAGGGCATTTATAAACATGACGCAGTGCTCAGTGGGAGTCTACTGCTGAATTGATGCAATAACTTGTTACAGTCTTCAGATGGTGCTAGCTAAAAATAGTCAGGTTATCTTGAAGGAGAACTATAACTAAGTACTGCTTGCTTCCATCCTAATGCTAGGACCATTGTTTGGGATAGAGCTGAGTAAGGATGGAAAGGGGCAGTGGGCAGTGGGTAGGAGCCGACCTGTGTCTGCAGTGCTCCTAAGCCCTCCTCATCCAGGGCTGGGGGACCTAGGGGAGTTCTACTGTATCAGGACACAAACAGGGCCACCGCCACATGGCATCCATCATGTAGTTATCTGAAAGCCATGGTCACGCACAGGGATTTACTAGATGCTACATATTGTAAGAAGGCATAGGTAAGTATTATTTTTCATCTTCTGTGTGTGTGTCTCATGCTAAATTAATGAAGAGACAGTCCCTGGTGGTAATTCTGGCACACAGTAGTGCATTGTTAAAACAACAACAACAACAAAACAACATGGGACTTGATAAATTATATGTTACTTTCCACTCCAGCCGTTTGCTAAAATAGCATGGAGAGGTTGGCAGTGAATGATTTTTTTACTTTTCTATACTCTGCAAACCAGAGTACCAGCTTGCCTTGAAGTAGACAAGTGAATAATAGCTAATTTAGTCACACCTAGTTTTTAAAACACAAGTAGTGCTCTTAAATGTCTCTGCTGTTTGGTGCAACACAGCCATATCTTAAATTGAAACTGTATGTTAAATCTCAGCTTATGGTGGACACTGCATTTGTTCATTTCTGCATGTTCTATAGTATTTCTTGAGGACTTTTTTTTGCAGCAACAGGTTATTGTGAGGTGTGTGCCTGAAGAATGTGATGCATCACCACGTGTATTCCTGGGTGAATCACAGACTTCAGTCATTTTTTTGGTCAGATACGAAGTGAAAGTCAGTATTTAATCAAAGCAATTTTTTATTTCCAGACTATTGTTAGAGGAAATAAGCCTCGGAAGGATACTTCAATCAACGGCTTGCTCGAAGAGTTTGACAATATCTCCGTGACTCGATCCAACTCCCTGCGGAAGGAGAGTCCTCCCACACATCACCAAGGCAATGCAAACCATGTGCCAAGGCACCAGGAGGAAAATGGGTACATCACATATTCGCAGTACTCCAGTGAGTCAGACACAACAACAGACTATGTCATGGACAAGTATAGAGACAAGACTCTCTATGGGGAAGAGCTAGACAGGTACTACAAAGGGGGCTACGCTGCCAAGCAGAATGGGCACATGATGAAAGTCACTTCCAGGGACATCTATTATTCAGAAATGACACCCCTGAAATCAGACCTCTCCAGGTTCCTCCCAGATTACCATGCACAAGTGGAGGCGAAGCCCAAACCACTCGAATATGGAGGTCTAAAGCTGGAGTACCAGAGGATTCCCAGTGGATCCTCACTGGACTACCGAGACCCCTTCCCTTACGCCCTGTCCCGAGCGTCAGTGCAGAGCGAGTGCCCCAAGGAGAGGCTGGAGTACAGCGACGGCGACTGGGGGCACAGCCCAGCTAAGGATGACTATGACAAGAGACCCAAGTCATCCTACGTGGACCCGGCGAGCCCTCAGCCAACCATGAGGCAGAGGTCCAGGTCGGGCTCTGGTCTGCAGGAGCCAGCCATGCCCTATGGAGCAAGTGCATTTAAAGCACACCAGCAGGGACACTCCTACAGCTCCTACACCTACCCTCGCTTGTCTGAAACTGCAGCAGGCATCTCCAAGGTAATGTTAAGGCCCCTGGTGTCGGTACTGCCAGGGCAGGGACCCTTCCAAAGTGGGAATGCAAAAAATTAAGCATGTGCAAAATGTTAGGGGCATGGAGCTGTGCTTGGAAACACAATGGTAGGAAGCATGCGATAACGCTTTGGTGGATATAAAACCCACCCAATTTACTTGGGTAACTGAAAACAGATGCTGGGGATCAGAAATTTAAGATACTTATTCAAAGAACAGTTTGGTGATGCCCAACTTCCGTGAGTTTTACTTGGGATTTCTGAAAAACCCAAATTCTTTGGCAGTTTATATAGGATTAGGAGTTCATATGCTAATGCAGATGTTGGCAGAGCTGGAAAGTTGGTCTGGTTTGAATGTTGGGTACTTTTTGTATTTGAGTCGTTGTTGCTGACATCTCTGTGCCACTTAGAAAAGTGTTTCTGGTTTGCTGAGGAAAGACAGCCATGATCCCAGCATGTCTATTAGGCAGAGGAGCTGCCTGCAGCTCAGCCAGCTCATACCAGCCCACACAGCCACCAGTCTGGCAGGTCTGTGTGTGTACTATGAGATTTGTTAACCATTTCCCACCAGAGAGGGAAGGGACTTATCCCTCACCCCTTCATTTTTTAAGCAGTGGAATAAAATCAAAGTGTCTCCTCACACAAAAATAAGAGTCAAGATAAAAAAGCAACTCCACTGTGATATCTACAAGCAGCTCCTCTGCAGAAGCTGTGGCCTGCTCTGCCTTTTCTAAGTTGCATGAAGAATATTACCCACACAAGCTATCCTACCCTACCCTACCTCCTTGCAGCCTTGTTCAGCTAAAGGAATCTCTTACCCATCAGATCACACTGCTCGAACAAAGACCTGCTTAAACATTTAGTATTCTGCAAGAGATGGTTTTTCCTTTGGTGTAGATTTCATTTAATGTTACTGGGTTCCCTTAGCAGCAGGCAGCAAGCTTGCTGTGATTTGCCAAATGTGCTGAGCTTGGTAGTTGTCACACGATGATAGCCCTTCTGCTTATGATGGTGTCTGAACAGTGCATTTTCTTACATCCTCTGTGCACTGAGAACTTGGTCCTGTCCAAGTTCATACCCAGATGTCATCTCAAACCTCTGCACATACAGCATGGCTTCATACCAGAGGCATGCCTGCATCTTGCTTAGGTTTTGGCTGCTTTGCTGATGCTGGGCTGCAGTTACTGATAGCATCCTATGGAAAAGGGAGAGCAGTGCTTTTTTGTTGTTGTTGTTGTTGTTGCTGATTGTGTTAAAGCACAGAGTTGGGCTTTTGAGTTTGAGTGTAAATACTGGGGGGTGGGGGGGTAGAAAGGTTGCCAGGTTTCTTCCTATGCTTTGTCTAAGTTTGGGATTTGCTGGGAGGGATGCCTATATGTAGTTAACTGTGTGCAAGAATGTGGTGCTAAAAGACAGATTCTGGAGTTTGTGAGGAAAGCTTGGGGTGGGCTACCTGCCATTTCTTTCTTTGAAAACAGTCATTTTGTCGGAGTTGAGAAAGAGGAAGGACAAATCCACCAATAGCTCATAAACTCCCCTGTGCCGGCTCCTGCCAGATTTACGGCATTCAATAAGATGGAAGGCGGAGGTGTATTTCACAGGACTCAGAGCACTGCAGACAGTTTGTAAAATATCCCATTAAAATGCAGTAACAACTTTTATTAAAGAAAAAGATGCCTTAGTGCAAGATTCATTTTGAGCCATTGCTCTCCTTTGAGCATCAAAAGCCCCCGTGTAGCCTTGGTATATTGAAACTTGATGATTCACTGTTAAATGCTGCAGTTTCAATTCCCAAACCCATCCGCAACTCCTGGAAGTGAATAGCAGCTTCGTGTCTTGGATGATTGCTGAGGAATCTTCTTTTCAAGGAGGCATTAGTAAGATAATGGTTCATTAAATGGGTTTACTAAGTGAGAATCAAGTCTCAAATCAGATATTGTACAAATGAAATTGGCTTTAAAGTATAATTAAAAGGGGGGAAAAGTAAGCATTGAAAAAGTCCTCAGGCACAAATGTACAGCTTCAAAATGCATTTAACAAAGATGTGCGTTTTGACTTGTAAATGTGAAGAGTAGGTGCAGATGGGTATTATTACAGATGTCAGATAAAGGAGACACGTGCCCTGTTCTGGCAGCAGACGTGTTGTGTCAGACCTGACTGCTGAGGTGGCCGTTTGCAGACCTGAGTGAGGCTGCAGCCAGATGAGCAGCAGCACATCACATTGCACTGCAGGGCTGTGACTTCATCTGCTCCCCTCACCTGATCTTGAATGAGAGCAGGGCTGGTTTTTACTTTCCTTTGTAGTATTTACAGACTTGCCTTTCAGAATGTAATTGCATTCAATAACAGGAATAATGGCATTATTAGTGGAATCAAGTGTGCTCAATTTTGCCACGCTGTGAAGAACTGTGAGGACATGGCTGAGGAGGAGAGGTTAGGCTGATGGAGTCACTTGGGCTCCTCTACTTCAGTAAGATTGTATGGGGTGCAGGAAGTGAATGGTAGTACTGCAGATGCGTGAAACACAAACTGCAGAAAGCTTTCAGAAGAGGACGCTGAACATCTCCATTTTCCTTTTCAAATTTCACTGTGGAATTTGCTTTTCCTGACACATGGGGCATGCTCAGAAAACAGCAGGTGTGGGTGATGCCCAGTTGCAATCCATTGGTGCGGATTTATCTAGTTTTAGTTTTAGACAGGGCTTTCCCCATCTTGATATAAAAATGGTGTATTTTCAGTCAAAGCAATCATCTGTGTGGCTCCATGTACACAGATATATAGGACAGGGCTGGACTGAGTTCCCCTCCCTTCACCAAACCATCTGAGCGCTTTTCTGTGTTAATTAGTTGGGCAGCTGTCATGTCCTTCATGAAACGCACGATGTCTCTGACCCCCTTCTATCTCACAGCTGCATAAGTGAAATCCTGCCCATTTGTATGTCACGCTCATACAGAAACAGCACCCGAGGAGGCGGCCGCGCAGCACTGCCAGGGTTGGATGTGGGCAGCGTGCGGCTGGGAGCTCACACAGCTGCCTGCAGCTGCACGCTGCCGATGGAAGTGCCTGCACAGCCCTCATGCAGAGGCATCCCCTGTGCCCCGCTAACCAGCAGGGCACCAGGCGGGCATGCCCGGCTCACACACGGTGCCCAGAAGCACTGATACAGCACTGCACTTCTTTATTCTGAGGCTTTTCTCCCTGCAGCTGAGTGACTCCAGCTAGAATCTCCTCCTCGCTGTGCAGCAGCCTACAGTGATAGATTGATGCTGCGGCAGACCTTTTTTTTTTTTTTTTTTTTTGCAGTCTTCGCATAAAACGGTCAAATGATGTTCCAGCGCAGAATTCAATTTCACAGTTCAGTTGGGTCCTTGATTACACTGCCAAATTCAGATTAATGTGCATTTAACTAACATGGATCAGGGACTCCTGGCCAGCAGCCAGCAGCAATAGTAGCTGCCGTGAGCTGTGTCGGGGTTGTTGCGCTGTCCATCCCTGTGGGCCGCCACGGAAATTGATTGATTAAATGAATTCATTGCCGTAATTATTTGTAATTGTGCTACATCATGAGCCTGTGTCTGACCACCCCCACCCGCAGTGCCCCACGTGTCGTTAGGAGTCACATACACAGTATCATAAACGTGGAGATGCCCTTTTCTGGGAAAAGGAAATAATACTTTTGTTTCAGGTGCATTTTTTTGCCTTAGATCCTTCTCTGTTTTTCAAAGTATTTGCTGACTTTCAGTGTAAGTAGCTTAGAAAAACTAGGGAAAATACAAGGGAGGAAAGGAACCTGCAGATGACAAAGGCCTTCCATTGGGATAATTTCCTTACGATTGTCTCCTGTTTGAAATGAAAACTAGCAGTTTTGCAGTTAAGTAGTGTGTCACTCTGGAAAATGACTTAAGGAATGGTATATTGAATTAGTATCCTCCTTTTAGTTTGCTTGGAGGAAGTCCCTTTGAAGATTTCACTGAGCATCTCTCCTCTCACCTCGAGCAGGTTACATGCTCCCCTGGTTGTAGCCCTATGTGATGTATCCCCATGCTTTGAATTTGGTGCTCTTCTGCTGTTTGTTCATGGTCTGCAGTGCTCCCTCCATGCTGCTACACTGCCATGGTCGGAGGGTGCTGCAGCCCTGCTTCCACTTGAGGGGATGGTGGGGAAGGCCTGGCTATTTTAAGCTATACAACACTGAAAAGGGTATAAAAAAGAAAAGATAAGAGGGCTGTGTCTGCTCTGCGGTGGCTCAGCCAGCAGCTGGTGATGGGGCACAGCACAGGCTGTGGGAATTTCAGGGTACCACCACCTCCATGAGAAGAGGTCATTCTTGTATCACCAGAGAGAAGCAAAAGAAAGGATTAATGGGTGAGAGTCAAAAGCCAGAAATTTGTATTTGGAAGGAAAGACATGAATTTGGATTTGTGAAAGGGCTTCTTGTTTTGAAAGGGATGCTTCAATGGAAGGAAATGGCCCAGAGAACCTGCAGGGCACTGCTAATACAGAGTAAATGCATTCCTTTGGACCATATGCTTTTATTTAACAAAGATTACCATGTCTCCAGATGGGTACATGGACATAAAAAAGAACCTGGGATATACAGAAGACCAAGTGGTCTTTACTGGCCTCATTTTAGTAGTGATGAGAGGGTAGGCAGCCTAATACTCTAAAAATCTGCAGGCAGCAGTGTCATTTACAGAACAGCGAGTCCATGCAGGAGTGAGCTGTGCTGGCACCCCGCCGAGTGTATCTGGGGTGCAGAAAGTGAACTGAGTGGTCAGGGTTGGCCAGGCAGCTGGAAACACAGCTCTTCACTCATCATCAACACGTCCACTCCTCTGCTTTTGTGTTGCAGGTGGATTACGACCGAGCACAGCTGGTAGTTAGCCCACCACTCTCTGGATCGGACACCTACCCAAGGGGCCCAGCAAAGCTACCTCAAAGTCAAAGTAAAGTCAGCTATTCCAGCAGCAGCTACCAGTACCCTCTGGTCTACCACAAAGCATCCCACTACCACCAGCCACCACTCCAGCCGAGCTCTCCTTATATTTCCACCGCCTCCTACCCCAGCTCCCCAAGTATCACATCAAGTGCTTATCCCCCGCCCAGCTGGGGCTCCTCCTCAGACCAGCAGCCCTCCAGGGTGTCCCACGAACAGTTCAGAGCTGCCCTGCAGCTGGTCGTCAGCCCTGGTGATCCCCGGGAGTACTTGGACAGCTTCATCAAGATCGGGGAGGGCTCCACAGGGATAGTCTGCATTGCCACCGAGAAGCACACGGGAAAGCAAGTCGCTGTGAAGAAAATGGATCTCAGGAAACAGCAGAGGAGGGAGCTGCTGTTCAATGAGGTACGTTGCTGTGGGCAGTGCAGCATAAGATGCGATCTGAACAGAGACCACAATGCCAAATTAATGTCTTTCTAAAATAGAGGGCTGAGTCCTACACTTCACAATGTCTGAAATAATCAGATCCGTTTCAAGTGAGCTACATCTTCTCCCAGGTTTAAACCTATAATAACATGGTGAGAAGTCACAGTAAACAACTAAGAAATCTGTCATCTGGCCCGCACAGCTTATCAGGTGCACAGACACTGCCTGGTTGCCTTCTTTGGACCATTTCTGGTACAGTTTAGTCTGCTGAGATGGAGGATCCTAACTGACCCTAATACTGAAGAAGCATACAAATCATACTCTGGCGTATCCCTCCCCTCCTAATCACATGTGATCTTTTTCCTTTCTTGATAGTTACTAAACAAAGAGCTGACAACCCCTTTTTCATATTAAATCCCACATCTCCTGAGAGATTATAGCCAGTTTGGAGACCACTGCAGAATTTATAGAATTCTGTGTGTTTTATCTTAAATTTAAGAACACTGATTTTCATTTGCCATTTTTTCTTCCAGTTCTTTTGTGCTTCCTTCTAAAATTGGAAGAGTTCCTACTTCTTCCCCCCTATAGAAGTTAGTGTTCTGTATTCTCTGCTTTTTGGGGATCCCTTATAAGTACACTGATCAATGCCAACAACACTGCAGTTCCCCAGGGAAACCTCTTGTGGAAACCATTTGATCCTATCATTCGTTTCATGTATTATAACCACAGGAGGATCATCCTTCAGCATGTTAAATTTTGGTTTCCTTAGAACCTTAAAAAAAATAAAACAGCTTTTAATTGAAAGATTTTCTTTAAAGATTATTGACCCATCACCTCCTTGAAATCCTAGCAGAATGGCCTTGAGCAGGATCACTCTCTGTCAGGAAGCTCCAAGAGGTTTTTGAGGCACAATTTTCTACACTCTTCCCTATTATATCCAATTTGTCAGTGATTCTTACAGCCACACTATAGTAGTTACCATTTCCAGTAGCTTGCTGAGCACAGGCATTGGAGTGACCCGTGGTTATGTAGGTCCCCTAGAGCCCTCTTGGAGGGCAGGGATGACATCGATGTGCACTGTAGGTGCCAGGGTACAAGCATTAGTCAAGATGCAGTGGTGACAGCTCAGCCTTTTGTATTTCATTTCCTTTAAGACTTCGTGTGAGTGCTGTCTGCTTTGGGGCACTTGGGGCCATCTGCACCAGCCTGATCTTTGCTTTATAGAAGCTTTTTAACAAAAGCTTGCTTGTTTTTGCACAGTTGTCCTTTCTGCAACCCATGACTACACTGGGTATTTTGACTTTATTTTGCCTCTGCTGGAAGACTGCACTGAATTGCTTTGCAGTAGTTCTAATTGAGCATCTCTTGAGTGGTGACATCATGAAGCAGGTCCAACAAGCAGGTCTGATCTGCTTCCCTGACATGCTCCAGTCACTTGTGTCATCTGAAAATTTCTTTTCAGCGCCTCCTTCCATCTACAGAGGGGTAATCAGAGCCTTCCCTAGCTGATGTTTTCTATCCCTGTCCCCTCTCTTGACATCCCCACATATCGTGCAGTTATCGGCACCTTGGCTGAGCTACTATTAGTGCCGTCCCTCTCCTGTATATTCACTTCTAGATGCAGTGGTTGAGCCCACAGCACTCACATAAAGCATGCACACACCTGGCTCAGCATCTGTTTTATGGTAATGTTTAAATGAAGCTGTAGTCATTCAAATGAACTTATTCTCTTTGAGCTTTGTCTCCTTGAGTCTTGCCTTAGGCTTTCCTCAAGAGCAAAAAGTGTTTTTTGTGACTAAACTCTGGAAAAGCCTTTGTCCCAGACTGCCAGCTCTCCTCCAACTTTAGCTTTAGAACCTCAGTCTAGCAGAAATGCTAAGTCATGGCCTGAACCAGTGATTGAGCACCTGGTAGGAAGGTGTAGGCAGGGCCAACCCAGGGGAGCTCAGGTGCATGCAATGTACCTGAGTGACTGGAAGGGCTAGAGCCAGGATCTACCACATCCCATACCTCATTTAAGGGTTGGCAGTGGATGCAAAAGGATCTCACTGGAGATCCTTGTGTGCTTGAGGCCTTCTAAGGGTAAGCAGATCTTTTCTTTTTTTTCCTTTGTTTCTATGTCCGTAGTTGTGTCATTTGAGCTTATCCTCCCCTGCTGCAGCCTAGGGCTTTACTACTGCACTATCATCGCTGCATTTTCCATTGTGTTGCAGCACTACACTCAGTAATTCAAAGCATTAGAATTCAAGATAAAATGCAGTTGTCTATGGAGATAAATGAATCCAGGAAATTTCACAAGTACAGGAATTCCTGCATATGAATCCCCTTCACAAAGGAAGGGCTGTAGATACTGAGATGCAGCATTGCAGTGTGCTCAAAGAATGACTGAACTAGGCTGATGTGAGGCACAGGTGCCAGAGCTGTCTTTGCACCTGTAGAGCAGGTTCAGCTATCCACCAGGCCTCAAGATATTAATTATTCTAATGCTTGCTATTATGATTGACAATTGCAGAGCATTTTAAAAGCATAACTGTGACCCTGTATTAGCAATTATCCTTTCCACTGTATTAAATCATTCAGATTTAAGTGAAGGTATTATTCCATTTCCAGGCAAACTAAACTAGCAGGAATGAGAAAAGCTATATCTTTGTAGCTCTTAATTTTACGTATAAGGTAGCACAATGCAGAGTACCTCACAGTTGGGGAGCATCCAGGAGCAGAACAGAGCTCAATCCCTCCCAGCCACTTCAGCCATAGTGCATACAGGCCATCTGCTTGCTAACCCCACAACTCTGGGGTGCCCCAGACCTGTGTGCTCTTCTTTCCATTTTCCATACCTCTGCTGGGGTCTGTGATCCAGGGGCCTCAGATCCCTTTAATGTTGAGTCATAAAATCATAGAGTGGCTTGGGTTGGAAGGGACTTCAAAGATCACATGGTTCCTCTTCCCTGCTGGGGGCTGGGAGATGAATAGCCCCAGTATCACCAGCTTTCTGTTAAAGTACTGTACAAGGTACAGTTTGCTGCCTGATGATGAAGACATTTTTAGCTGAGCAATTGATTGGATCTAAATAAATGTACTGAAAGCAGCTGGCCCTAAGAAAGCAATGAAATAACCAGTCCTGGTTGTGCAGCATGGGGAAAAAAAAAAACCAACACATCACAGTCATCTGCCACTTACAATTCAGCAGCTAAAGGTTATTCCTGTTTCCTGATGTGTTTACGATGACTGTTACTTTATGTATGTACATGGATTTTTGTTTGTGCGCTGCCACAAGAATTAGTGAGGCTGTGATTCATAGCAGAACCTTTACTAAGCACAAAGAGAAAAGCGCAGTGAAAAAGAAGGTCAAAACAAGTGTCAGTGCTTACAGCAATTCACATCTCATCTTTTTTTTTTTCTCACAGGTTGTAATCATGAGAGATTACCATCACGAAAACGTGGTTGACATGTACAACAGTTACCTTGTCAGCGACGAGCTGTGGGTGGTGATGGAGTTCCTGGAGGGCGGTGCTCTGACAGACATCGTGACTCACACCAGGTGGGCTGCGAGCTGCAGGCAATCCCAGTGGTGCATGCGTAACTATATGTATGTGTGGGTATGGCTATATATGTGTACAGATATGTCTATAATATGCTGTACGTGCATGCACATATGTATATATACACATACCTGCGGCACACTTGCAGTACCAGCACCACAGTACCAACTATGCCACTGCAGATGGCTTTCTGTCAGTGCAGGTGTTTTTTGAAAAGAAGGAAAAGAAATATCTGGAAGAGCTTGCTGGGAGGCAGAGATTTGCCAGAGCTTTCAGTGTTAATTTAGCAGAGATTACCTTTATCTGTTAGTTCCCCAAGTGATGAAAAGAAGCTCCTTTTCCTTGTATGGTGATCTGTAGTGTTGACTCTGCTTTCATAACTCTGTCAGTTTTGGGGTTGATTTCTCTTGATGCTCATAACCCACACAGCCACGCTGTCAGAAGTGTTAACTACAGACCGAGCCTAACACATAATGGGAAAAGTATTTTTCCATCTCTCAGCATTTGTGCTTACAGTAGAGCTGGTTCCCAAACTTCAGTTAATGTCATGTCTTTAAATAAGACAGTTGACCAGTAGAGAGGCTGTAGTGTACTGAACCTCTCTTCTAGTTTCTCTTTGAGTTGGATCTTACAGCCTATCTTACATCTGCTCCTTGCTCACCTCGTTCTGCTGAGCAGGACCAAATGGGATAGGAAGGAGGAATTCTGTGATTTCTTCGTTTAGAAGAAAACAACATGTATTTTCACAACAGCTCAGTGGGAGAGTACTTAGGTGAGCAAGACAAAAAGCAAAAAGAAAATTAGATGTGAAAATTTGTCTTCTCTCACAGTTTAGTGATCCTCAAAGATCCTACAAAAAAAAAAGTTCATGGTATTTTATTTTAAGTGTTGTCTTAGCTGATGTGCTAAAATAAAGCATGATATTGCAAGCCATTTATTAACTAATGCTCCCCAAAACATTATAAGCTCCATCGGAGATATTTCTGACAGGAGTTTAACGGCAAACAGATGTTCCCAGGACACCACTTCTTAAGAGCTGTCATCTATTTTTTTTTAATTCAAAATAGACATTCCTTAATCTTCTGGGTTTTTTACATTTTGTGACCTTTTCTTAAAGATTTTGCTGAAATACTGCAAATAGCATCACAAAATTAAAGCAGAAATGCCTTAGGGCTTTTGCTGGAGTGGTGGTGAAGCTGGGGACGCCCAGCTGTGGTGCAGACTTGTCCAGTCAATCGTCATGCTGCAGCAGCAGCTTTTTCTATGGTAGGGCTTTTCATGTGTGCACAGAAATGAGGACTTGATAATTCTCTTGCTGTATATTTTCTTCTATGAAATACCTTCAATTTGTTATAATAATTACAAAGGCAAGGGTAATGCTCTTAAAGTTGCCCAAGGCCTGATGTTTCTTACATTCATTCTATGCCTGATTCCATTCCAGTAGTCATTTATTCTTCTTGGCAAGCAGGAAGTTTACTGTAAATAAGGCATTTCCGTTATTTCCCATAGGGAAACAGGCTCACTGTAATACACTGTATCACGTAATGGACTCTGCCCTTTTAATGCTACAGGGAGACTTGCCCCAACCTCGTTGCAGAGTTATTCCCCACCCATCATCTCCCTTTCTTGACGGAAATAGCTAATGTATCGGTGTGAACAGGAACCTGGGCTTCTCCACTCCAGCTCCCCTTTCCTTTCCTGCTTTCTTCCTTAATGCTCAGTATGTTTTTCCATTTTCTTGTTTCAGGATGAACGAGGAGCAGATAGCGACTGTCTGCCTGTCTGTCCTGAGAGCTCTGTCCTACCTGCACAACCAGGGTGTCATCCACCGCGACATCAAAAGCGACTCCATCCTCCTCACAAGCGATGGGCGGGTGAGTGCTGAGCATTTCTCCTGTCATCTCTGGCTGGCACACAAGGGGTCTGCCTTAGGGATCGATGGAATCCTTTACAAAAACAGCTGTGCACATGGCTTGCCAAAGTAACACCAACTTCCAAAAAAAATAAAGAAGTTGAGTCTCTGAGCAGCTCTTCTGCTCCATGCCAGGAGTCGTAGTGGATAAGAGCTTAGTTCCTGATCCTAATGAAACCAAACAAGCACTTGAACAGAAGTGGCCTATGTCCAGCCTTTTGCTCCTGGCCAGTCGCAGAGCTGTTGGCAGGATGTCATGTGCAGAGCAAGGGTTGCCCAAAATGCCACCTTCCCCATGGATCTCCATGCTCATCTGAAGCGAACATTGGCACCCATAGGTTGGTGGGAATTTAAACCCAAGATGTCATCCCTGCAGTCTCTGGCTGGGAGTCTGTGCCCTTCATAGGCACAATACATTGTGGCACTGACAGAGTACTGCTGCCCTCCCCTCAAAGCCCAGCCATGGTGACAGAAGTGGCAGAGCTATAGGGAGTAAATAAAGGGGAAAGGAAAATGCAACTTCGTTTTCTACTTCTTATCTGGGAGGGAAGAGGGAGATCTGCGTCTTTCCGTTTCTCTGATCCTAATCTGTTGTAAGACAAAATGCTATTAGATAATGGGAAAAATAGCCTCATCCTTCATGGGTGTATTGATTATATGAGAGGAATAGGGTTGTGTATGCTGAGGTTGAGCTCCAGGTAGGATTCTACAGCAGGCTCTGAGCCAGATCCACAAAATGACAGCTTCAGTCTTGCTAGAGAGCTAAATCAGAAAAGCACAGGCCTGACCAGTGGTTGACATCTGTACTGCATGTAGAGGCCCCATGGGGAGTTACAGCCCCTGGGAGGCATTGGCAGAAGACACTATGCCAAAAGGGTGATGCTTAGGTAATGGGGAACTTCCTATCAGTTCTGCCCCATTCTACCTTGATGCCTTGCAGAACTTTGTCTTTTTACTATTTTCAATAATCTTTTATTTTGCAAGCTTTTATATACTTAAGCTCTGTTTTTCCAAGCTGGTTGGGATGCTATCTTCAGTCTATACTACTAGGAAATGTTATACCTTAGTGCTGAAACACTCACCTGTGGGAATAGCTCTTGCCATAGATACACTTGTGAGGTGGTTGATAGCACCTATCCTGTGCTTTTCTGCATTTGGATGGGCCACTGAATTGTTCTTTGTGGTGTTTACACCACAAAGTGGGGGGAGAGAGAAAGAAAATGCACGTGACCTGCTTGATCAGCAAAACAGAGGTTGCATGCCAAAAAAATAACACTCTGTGTTCATTTCCAAAGAAATTAATATTTCCTTTCAAGGAAAAAAAAAGTGGGGCTGAGCTGCACTGTTCGTGGCCACACAGCAGTAAAATTTGAAGCACCTAAAACTCAGGGCACCCAAAGGTGTAGGTGGAAGGGAGCAAATAACTGTTACATGTAAAAGCCTCATTTCTGCACTAGTTTGAGTCTCATCTTGTGGCCACGTCAAATAATTGAAGCAAAAGCTTGTTCAGTCATGCCCAGGAATTCCCATCGGCAGGATTTCAGGGTTGCTGCAATAGGATTATGCATGTGCCCAAAGCAGGATGTAGTGAGTGGGTCAGAATGAGACCAAGAGCACCCAAATCTTCCAGTGCTGAAGGTGAAACTTGAGGCTTCTCGGGCCTGATCCAGTTCTCTCCAATGTAGTTTACAATTTATTCCCACATCACCAAGAGAGGGATTTTCTTCCTGCAGCCATCACAGGCCAGCCTTGTTAACCTTGTTTGGGGAGAAAATTCCACGTGTGTAGGAGTTTTTCAGTTGCAGTTTTGATCCATGTTGCTGAAATAGCATCTGAACTGCTTTCAGGCCCTGCGTAGAGTGCCTCATTATACTCATTACTCTGGTACTTACTATCTGCATTGCAGATTTCTTCATGGCTGTGTTGTGTAATTATCTTTTTTTAGAAAATCGTTGTCTTTTATGTACTCGAACAAGCAATAGATACGCAAAACCTCTTGTGCTCCTACAAAAGAAGACTGGGCTCTGCTGCCAAAATTCACTCTTTCTTCCATTCTTCATCCTGTAAACTGAAAAATATGTTTAGCGTGGAGGACTTGACTGTTGGTGGCTTTGTTTTAGAAATACTAACAATCATTTTGTAATTCTGTTAAAAATAATACCCATAGTTGTTTTTTTTTAAAGTAGGGTCTGTACTAAATCCAGAAGAAAACAAATCAGAGCTGATAATAAACTGCTGCTCTACACAATGCAGCAATTGATGGAACTTCCCACTTGATTTGTGCTGGGGCTGTCTGGGCTCACAGCACACCCCCAGGTGCCAGCATGCAGCTGGCTTCATGATTCATGGACTCTGGGTGCTGGCTGCCATTGCACTGTGTGGAGTGTAGCTTGAGGGACCAGGGGCTGCCCTCATGTGGAGCAGCTTCCAGGAAAAGCCCAGGGATAGCTTTTAGGCCTCCAGAAGAATACTTGGAAAAACGAATACTTCAGCTGCCTTGAGGAGCAGGTGGTCTCTGGAAGGTAGTGATGCCACAAAAGTCATGCCAGCTGATTTTTGGCCCAGTTTGGAGGAGTTTTCACCTTGGTGTTGTACAGCAGTGGGGGAGGAGGAAGGTCATAATTTTCCAGCATTTTTGTTGGTTAAAAAAAAAAAAAACCACCTGCGTCTAAGTATGAGCAGGCACATGATGCAGCAGGAGCTGCTCTCCAGAGTGCTCGTGTATCCCATTATTTCTATTTCAGGTCACTGCCACAGCTACTCAAGGACAATGCTTGCCTCAGTTCCCAAGTTGCCAGCACTGGATGCGGGTCCCTCATCTCTTGCAGCCATTTTGGAGGAGTCTTCCCTGTCTCCCTCAAGCTCCTTACTACATAAAGATGACGGTTTTGAGGGGCAGACCACAGCACACCTGAAAAATTGTTGCTTGGGGGTATTGCTTTCTAGGAGTGTCAGATCATGCTCTGCGTAGAAAAAGAAACATGAGATTGTCTGTTTCCTGGCAAACTCAAATCTCAAAGCTGATAAAATAGTAGGAGTGATATGTATCACTTCCAGTAGGTATTGTATTGAATATTAGTAAATATACACACATTGAGTTAATATATTTGCATAATACTGTACGTTTAGAATTTCTGCTTTCCTTTTGAGTTATAGGCCATTGATCACCTCTACACTTCTGCTGGAGAAATGACAAGGGGCTATGAGAGGTGATCTGAGTAGTGGGCACTGCTGCCAGCCTCTGCCACTTTCTTGCCTTCCGTTTGGTGTAATCAGCCATGCTCTCTCCAGGCTCATCCTCCATCTGCAACCTCACTTCTAAAACCATGCTGCTGCACCATCCCAGCTGCTACAGCAGGAGACAAGGACTTTTCCCGGGGGGAAGCATATCTGGCCGGATCAGTGTGTACCCTGTTACACAAGAGGGGCTTTCTCTTTGTCTTTTCTTTTTAGATCAAATTGTCCGACTTCGGGTTCTGTGCCCAGGTGTCCAAGGAGGTGCCGCGGAGGAAGTCGCTGGTTGGGACGCCGTACTGGATGGCACCAGAGGTGATATCACGCATGCCCTACGGCACTGAGGTACGTGCGGCAGGGCACCCAGAGTGGCACACGGTGCCACAGTCAAACCCACTGAACCCAGGGAGAAGACAGCAGTTGAGATGCTGTACGTAGCTGTGCTGAGCAGCAGCACTTGTGTTTGCCCCAGAGTATGACACTGCGCTTTGTTAACATATTCCTTTGTGAAGTGTGGTCAAATAACTCTGTTTAGAGCACTAAGCAATGTAATGCCTTTACGTAGTTGAGCTTAGGGTACTCTATGAAAGAAAAATGGCATCACTTGCATGTTGGGGAAGACCTGTTGCTGACCTCCATATTGGTCTGCAAGCTGGAGCTGCAGATAGAGGCGTGTACACCTCCATGTACCAGACCAGTTGCCAGTGTGCACAGCTGCACCACAAGGTCAAGTCACATCAGTACTTTCACAGACATGCAGGCAGAGACCCCCTGAGCTTCCAGCCAGTTAAAGCTTGGATTCCCCAGCCTCTAGGGGAGTGCTAGCAAAGGCAAAGCCATGGGCCTTTAGGATCTGAAATGCAAGAGCCAGTTGGGTGAGGTGGGTTGCCGTACTCTGGTGTTCTCATTGCAGTCAATTCTTGGATTAGTTGAATGAGAAAAAATAACAAAGTACACTGCAAGAACTGTTTTAAGAACTGCAGGCCCTTCTGAAAAAGAGGCAGTCCATATGTTTTAACAGAGACTTTGATCTCAGAACAGAAAGGACAGGTTGGTGGGACCTGGCTCAGTAGTTCTGCACTGCCAGCCTGGGAGTTCTCCTCTCTCCAGTCTCAGCAGAGACAGCATCTCAACCCCAGCTCAGGACACAGCTGCATTTTCTTCTGCCTGGTCAGCTTCTGCTTAATATAGCCTGTAATAACAGCTATGAAAAGCAACCCTGCTATATGTCTGTGTATATATATACTTACTTACGTGTGCATATACACATACATGCTGCATATATGTGAGAGATATACACACTCACACATGTATGCATACAAAGGAGTGGAAGCAAGCTGTTCTGAGGCCTTGGACAGGAGATGATGCATCTTCAAAACACGCAGAAGAGCTCTGTTTGGCCCAGGCATTTGCCCCAGTGTGTTGTAAGAGATATTTTAGGGATAACAACATCATCTATTATTAGCCTATTAATGACACTGAAGGGATTATAGAGTGCTTGAACTTACATTAGGTTCCCCACCAGTAGGGAAAGAGGAAAAAAAAAAAAATTAAGCTGAAGGATAGTGCTGGCAGAAGAGCAAAACAAGTATAGCCTGGCCCTGATGGTATTTAGGTTGGCAGATGACAGGAATTACTGCCATCAGAGTGTGGTTCTGGAGCAGCTGTGCAGCAGACTGGGACAAAAAAAAAAAGGATTGGTGTTTCTTTTTTTAAGCTGGAGTGAATCATTTTCTGAAGGGATTATATAATGTGCTACCTGCCATCGCTGTAAATGGGCCTGAGTGTAGTAAGTGCATGCTTGTGTTTGCCAAGGGGTAAGAAGGAGGTGCTATAGTCGTTAGTATTCAAGGGAAATACTACCTGATTTCACAGCAGCTGTTCTGCACCGTGTTTCCACTCACTGCACTTTTCTGTAGTACTGCAGAGCCAGTGCAGGGAAAAGAGTCATTGGGTTCAGAGTGGTGCGGCTGAAGTGCCACATCACAGGGTACAGGCAGCCTGTCCTCTGAGCGTGCCTTAGTAGTGTTCCAGTGGCCATCACCTCTACCAGCTGCAGACCCAGTCTGTACATTGTTGCTATGTCATTTGTTCAGTGCACTTGGTGTGATCAGCTGGTTAAAAAGAGAAGGGGGATGGTTCATCCACCTACTGCCTTAAAATGGCTGCTGACAGCAGTTGGTGTGCAACTCTGGGGTTTATGTGACCCTCAAATGCTAAGCGTGTTTCTTCACTCTGTGCTACCCAGCCGTGTTTGTGAACCAACTGTGTGTTGTTGCAGGTGGACATCTGGTCGCTGGGCATCATGGTGATAGAGATGATCGATGGTGAACCTCCCTATTTCAATGAGCCGCCGCTGCAGGCCATGCGCCGAATCCGGGATAACTTACCGCCCCGCGTGAAGGACATGCACAAGGTCAGACTTCCCACAGGTGATGAGGGCCTTGCACACACACAGGTGTAATAATACCACAGCCACACACACTGCTGTGCCTGAATTGTAAATTGCGTCATTAAGTGCCACCTTGAGCAGTGGGTGCTATGTAAGACTGATGCAGGAGGACAGGAAGCTAACAAACACTTCTGTGCCCAGTATTGAGTTTGCTTTTGCAGCAAGTGCCCCAGAAGGGGGCTGGGCAGAGCCTCACGCTCCCTGCAATTCCTGCCCTGCCTGAGGACCAGAGCAAGGCAGTTATGCAAGCCCTGCTCTGTACAGATCGGTACAGCCATGCCCATCGCCAGTGCCTTTGGGTCCCTTTGGTGCATTTCTGGATAATGTCAGACCTGAGTCCTCAGCAATAACAAGAAGTGTTACTGCTTTTCTTACGTTGCATACAAGGCTATGTATTGTTTGCTGTTCTGCACTCCAGTGCTTTCAACACGAATGATGCATGGTCCTTCAACTCAGTGCATCTTTGTCTCAGGAAAGCTCAGAGAATCCATTGTCTTCACAAGAAAAATGACATGCAAAGTACTCAGCATATGCTGGGAATCTTGTCTTTGTCTGCTCCTAATGCAGCATGGTGTTGCAGGTCTCCTCTGTCCTTCGGGGCTTCTTGGACTTGATGCTGGTGCGGGAACCCTCGCAGAGAGCCACGGCGCAGGAACTGTTGAGACACCCATTCCTTAAGCTGGCCGGGGCCCCTTCTTGCATCGTGCCCCTCATGAGGCAGCACCGGCACCGCTGAATGCAGCAGCTTCTCAGGAGGAGGTTGGTGCAGGGGCCAGATAACGGCAAGGCAGGAATCCCTGCGGTTGTGTGGGAACCACGGGAAGGGGTGAGCAAACCTTGCATAAGAAAACCCACCCCATGGAAATAATGTGGTGTATAAAACCCAAAGGGGTGCTCCATGGGAGTGCAAAGGACCCAGGGGGTGATCCTGGCCACCACACAGGGGGACGCGTGCTGTGGCTGCGCCACGCTCTCATCTTGGCCATCCAGGCAGAAGGCACCAGATGCAAACAAGGGGGGAAAGATAATGAATAGAGGATAGCACAACCAGAGCGAAACACCAGGATTTCAAAAGTAATGGCTACAGCACTTCTACTTCAGAAAAACACTTTTCTGACACAAAAAAAGCACTTTTTTAATCTCAGTCATAGCAGCGTAATGTATTTTGAAATGAATTTGTAATTTTCTGTACAGTACTTTTGATAATTTGCAGTACTTTGTCATGTAACCATTGTGCTAGTTGAAGTAATATGTGTAACTTAGCAAGAATTTGAGAAGAAAAAAATGTTTCCTACTTTTTTTAACCCTTTTGAATATGGAAAAAAGCCCTTTAGGAAGTTAGAAAATTTGGCAGATTTTTCCTTGGGGTGTGGAGAGTGCTTTGTCCCGCTGTCACAGTGGCCTGAAGATCAATGGGGTGCCAACAACAAGAACACCATCAGGGCAGTTGCTTTGAGTGCTTGCTCTCTGGGGGCTGCTGGCCTCATGGCAGCAATCCAAGGTTCTGCCATCTGCTGGGAGGCACCAGGGCCCTCAGTTCCCCTTTCTCTGGCTATGGGAACTAACACAGATGTACCTTTGGCCAAGGGTCACCCAGGGACCTGGCCGTCCCTTCACATCCCGCTGCTGCAAAGTCAGGTTAGTTTTTGCAGAAATACCCATTATTTATGTCATGCTCTGGAAGTTGATGGAAGCGTTCTCCAGATTTGGAGGAGACCATTGTGATACATTATGAGATGTTTGCCATATAGAAGTCGTGCTGCTGTCTAGACCTTCTTGAATGTTGATACAACAGTTGACTACTATGGAACATTTTTGTGTTACTTGTTGGATGAACTTGCATGTTAACTGTAGGCCTATAGCTTTGCCTTTAAAATTTTTAGAAGTGCTTCATAATTAATTATTTCAATGATAAATTAAATTTTATTTATTAATGATTAGTTTTTAATTATGTATAGTATGAAAGCCATGTTTTTCCAGTTATTTTTTTCTTACTGACCTCATTTTATGATATGAAAAGCCAATTTTGTGACAACAGGATTAGCTTATTTCTTACTACAAAATTTCATAGTGAATATATTGTTACTTATCATAGCAAATTATAACCAAACATCTAAACCTGGCAGGAGCTGTTTCTTGAAGATCTTCCTCTCAGTCAAAAGACTTGCTAATAGGACAGATGCTCTTTCAGTACCACCCTTTAAAAGTTAAATAAGTAACAGTTGAAGGGGGAGTAGCAAATAAAAGAAGCAAACAGAAGGGGAGAGAAACATGAACTTGAACATTGAATAAATGTTCTCCAGTGTCTATGCTTCACCCCCCCTGCTTTCTCCTCTTAACCCTGTTTGCACATTTCAAGGAAGTGCGTTTAGCTGAGCCTCTCTGCCCTGCCACAAACATGCTCTGCTGGTACAGACCTGCAGAAACCCAGCTGAGAAAGCAGGGCATCTATGGAGTTTTTAAGTGTTTGTATTTTGTAGTCTTGACAACTCAGGAAAAAAAAGGCTGCACAGGTACGGGCAATGGCATACAGGTGAAACTGTAATACTAGACAAAGTCAAACTTTTTTAAACCATCTTTGAATAAAAATGGGGTTGGTGGGTTTTCCTCTTTAATATTCAGCACACTTTAGACTGTTCAAGTGGAGAATTTTTTGCCACTTTCTTATCATTAGATACTTCAGACAGTGTTCATTGAAAGTTTTGTTGGTTGCAAAGGTGGTTGTTTTTTTTTTTTTTTT